TGTTTTCTGACCTAAAATGTTTATATAATAAGGCAATCTACATCCAAAAGATTTCTCAAGCATGAATTGGGTAATTCATAAGGAGAGTGTAGTAAACTTATGAAACCCTGTAAAATTCAAAACTTTGGAGCTATGATTGTAAGATCGTCACAGTGATGATATTGATACAGGACAAGTAAAAAGAAATATTCAGGGATGTACACAGGCATAAGAATTCTAATGTATACTGAAAAATATTTACAAGTCATGTAAAAAGGTAAACAATTTTTGGAAATATTTTATTCACTCATTTTTAAGTGTTTATCATTTTTAAATGCAAAATAAAATTTTATGTACTAATTGATAATATAGGAAATGAATATGATAAATTTCTTTCAAGAAACTTGCAGGGTACTTTTATAAAGAGTACCAGTTTATTAAAATGTAATTTATATTTCATAAAGTCCATCATTTTAAAGTAAACTACTTAGTCATTTTTAGTGTAATTCCATATTTACCTGACCACAATAAATTGATATAAAAATTGTAAGGTCTTATGCATTATATGTTACTCTCTATATTTCCCTCCCCTGCTTCTCAAGACCCTGAAAAACATTAACTTAATTTCTCTCTTTATAGATTTGTTTGGTTTTTGTTCAATATTTCATAGAGAGATGTTTCTCAAAAGAGGCTGTCCAATCATAGTATGTATCCCCATTTCTTTATGGTGGTCAGGCAGTTGTTTTTCAGCCATAGAAGACAAAAAATGATGAGCATTATGTCCAGGATTAAACCTTTAGAGATCAGTGTCCTTATTTTACACACTGTACTCCATTGCACTAGCTGATAATAAAGAGACCTGGGGGGCTGACCAATCCATCACAAGCAAGCTTGACTCAAGAAGCTTGCTCTGACAGAAAGGTGTTTGCTTAGGTACAGCAGCCTTTCAATGCTATGTGCATAGCAATAATGTTCTTGTTTTTAAACTAGTGAATTTAAATAATTATTTGTTATAGAAGTATACATCATGTTAACTAATACAATGTGTAAAGTCTATTCACTATAAGTTTGCTATTTTATTTTAATATAGGTGTACAATGTCTTATGTGATTTTTACAGACGAATATGCTTTGGGTTTTGGAATGGTTTAGGTTTTGGAAGGTCATGAGTACTTTATAATGAGTAACCTTTACTAGGAACCTGTGGAAGCACACTCTATAAAAATAATTTCCTTAGGGAAATATGTAAATATTAATACATAATTAGTACAAAAATTACAGTTTCATTTATGTTTATGTCAAATTTTCTCATAAAATGTGTTTTGGCTTAGAGCTTACATAGATGTTGGACTTTGAAAAATCAATTTAGGGAGTTGACCTTGAGTTTAATACTTACACTAATGGTAATATAAATATATTATCTCATTTATAAAGTTTAAAAATATGTTAAAGGTAACTGTGGCAATATGGAAGAGTAAATTTTTACAACTGACCTAACTTGATTTTCTAAGTGCTTATGCATTAGCAAAATGTCAAGAGCTATAGAAACTGAATGTACAGCTCTTAAAAAAAAGTAACTGGATTTATGACTCATAAGATTAAGAGCTAATTATGATTTCTTAGAAGCCAACTAAGATTGATTCAGCAAATCAAAACTCAGCAAAACAAATCCATCCTCTTACACTAACACAATATTTCCAACTATATGCCACTTACATTTGAAATTTTAAAGGATGTAAAAATATCTTTATTGACATTTACATTCTTCTGCCACACAAAGATTACTTTTCATTACATGATGTTTTGTATCGTACAATACAAGGTGCATGAGCCATTCCCCTTACTTAGAATTTGCATATGTTAGGAAGCAGTAGAAATGATTCTGGAAGGGTATGTTCTAAATGTACTTACATAAAGGAATAATCCTCAATCCTAAATGTTACATCATGAATTTGAAAACTCTCTTGAAGCTTGATGATATTAAGATGTTCATATACCTCAGCCTTGGCTGCTGTGGCTCAGTGGATTGAGTATTGGCCTACAAACCAAAGAGTTGCTGGTTCAATTTTTCAGGGCACATATTTGGACTTCGGACCAGGTCCCCAATAAGGGGTGCTCAGGAGGCAACCACACATTGATGTTTCTCTCCCTCTCTTTCTCTCTCCCTTCCCCTCTCTCTAAAAATAAATACATAAATAAACCTCAAAATAATAAAATATTTACATAACTTAAATATTTTAATATATTTTGTTAAAACTTCATGAAAATATTTAAAAATCATGTAATTCTAAGAATTACAGTGATTAAAATAGTTTGAAAAATATTCTTTTATTCTCATAAGGTTAAAAAAATTGAACCAGTATGTAAATAAAAATTCAATATTAGAAAAAATCTGCTTTTTTAAATACTTCATGTATTTATTTTTAGATGTGGAAGGAGAAAAAAGGGGAGAGAAACATCAGTGGTGATTACCTCCTATGTGCCTTTTACTGGGTACATGGGGCGCAACCCAGGCATATGCTCTCACTGGGAATCAAACCACCAACCTTTGGTTTGCAAGCAGGTGCTCAATCTACTGCGCCATACCATCCAGGGAGAAAATATTTATTTTTATGTTTATGTAATTATTTCTCAATTCATTCTTTGATATTAAATATAATAAAGTATTAATTTAAAGCAATTGCTTATGGATGAAGAATTATCAGCAGTACATATTAAAAACTTTGAAATAGGCACTAATGTAGCACAGGACAAAATTAAACAAGTTCTACTTTGGCTAGTGAAAGAAGAGTATCCAGAAATAAACTTTCTAAATTGACTTAAGACCATTTTTGGAATAGGAATTACCAATATCTTCTTACAGTACATTTCTTATCCTTTGAATGTCTTTCTGTCTTAAAAAGTTTAACTTATTCTTCACATATTTTTTGCTAAATATCCTTGCTTATGAGAAACTCAATTTTGTTCCTACTATTGGGTGGTATTCTATTCCAATTTTTTAAAAGATTTTATTTATTTATCTTTAGAGGGGAAGGGAAGGAGAGAAGGAGAGAAACATCAATGTATGGTTGCCTCTCATGCGTCCCCTGCTGGGAACTGGCCTGCAACCCAGGCATGTGCCCTGAATGGGAATCGAACCGCAATTCTTTAGTTCCCAGGCCCATGCTCAATCCACTGAGCTACACCAGTCAGGGCTCTATTCCATTTTTATACCCAAATAAAATTCTTCTCATCCTTTGTGATGATAAGTAACTTGGACCATGTTTTAACAAGATGCTTGGCAGTTTGACCATAAGAAATATAATTCATACAAAACTAATGCTGAATGTGGATAAAGTATTAATATCGAGGCCTTTCATTTCTATCCTTTAAATTATAACTCACAATGATATTTGATATTTCCTACCTGATACAATTTTATGTACTCCTATTAAGACTATTATAATCTACAAATAATCATTTTAAACATTAAAATTTATGTTTTAATCTCTAGATATATCACAATTACATAGGCCTTGTTATAATAACTTACATATTATGAATATTTTTCATTGCAGTATTCTTATTTCAAAGTTTATGCCTTTATCATATAACTAACATCATTTGTTTTAACAAATACAAGTCGTAAAAGCCTACTTAAATATTCTTACAGTAACAAATGAAGATATTGCATAGATGAATACTGTTTTTAAAAAATCATTCTTATATTTATGTTGATAGTTATAAGTATATTTTATATTTAACATTTATGTAGTTATTTACCAACCCAAAATTAACCAAATATTTAAGATTTATATCTAAACTTTATTGAGTTTGATTAGAGCCTATCTAGTTTTAGTAACATGTAAAACTAGTAAGAAATATTCATCTTAATTTAATCCACTTTTCAAGGTTAAGAGGGCACAGTTATTGTTAAATGAAAATGTTGAATGAAATTGCTAATAGAAACACTATTCATAATCACAGAACAAAGATCATTCTTATATTATGCATCAAAGCTACCTGATATATATCCTTTCCAGGAAGTCAAAGATTTTAAAGTCAGTTTTTTGCTAGTCCTTCTTATTTTTAATTAAATTAAAATTGGCTACATACATTAGCAAAATAAAAATAAAAGGTCTTAAATAAAATCAACACAGTATAGAGGGAAAAACTTTAGAAAGAGAAGTAAAGGCTATTAGCAAACATTGGAAGATACTGGGACATTATTTCTGCTATTTCCTCTCCATGCTTAAAAAACTGTAATTATGGAGCGTTCCTTTTTCAGGTAAATTACAACTGTAGTACTTCGTGCTTACAAAATGGTTATTACCAACCCATGATAAAGAAGAGAAATCAAGGTCCTAAACTATCAGATAAGTCCCTTCTGAGTAAAAAACAAATAAATAAATGAACTAATCTAAAACACAATTATATTTTCTTCAAATTAAAATGAGTGAAATTAACATGTTATAATTAAACCATTTCATCTTAAATTGTTTAACTACATTCCTTAGCAGTTATTTACTGTGTTGCTTATATATTTTTTCACCTTGATGATCTTAAGGGCATTATTCAGAATCATGTACTAATATAATCAATTTTATGTTTCACTTTGCAATGTATATATGCAAAGCATTTTAAACCAAAAGCAATCTATGTGAATTTTTATAATATATCAGCTTGAATACAATAAAAAGATAATAACTGCACCTTCTGATGATCTCATCTGTACTATTAATGTCCTTCTGCAAATGGTTAATTTCTGCATTTGTTTTATATAACCATTTGTACTCACATTACATCTTGTTATTTTTTAAATTATACACCTTATTCATAAATCATATACATTATCTGTGTTTTCTGTCTCATAATAATTATATGAATATTTATGCTGTACAAATTTTAATAAAGGATCATTTACACAAGGTGAAAAAAATAGAAGCATGAATCATGGCATATATTGTAACAATTCAGAAGAAGCTATAATGTGGAAGTAAACGAGTATTATTTCTTGACCAGACACAGCTAAATGGTTCTTACCTGAGGTTTTTCACATGTTTGTTCAGATGGCAGCTGGACTGTACTCACCCTGAGCTCCACCCGGCTGGATCAAGGTGGTTAAGTCACATGGATGGCAGGGGCTGACTTTTGGCTGCAAACTCATTTGGGCTATCTATTTACCAAATAATTTACTTTGACTTATGCATTTATTTTTGTTTTATCAAAACATAGTAGCTATTTACTAGTAGGTAGTATTAAAAAAACAAAGCAGCCCAAAACAAAAGATTTAGGCTGATGCAGCAAGACTTTTATGACCCCATATACCATTTTTATGGCACACACACTGAAAAGAGACTCACTTGAATTTGATTACATGAGGGAGTAAATACCGGGATGTTTGACTCATTCCAGGGTCCTGCTTGGAAACTTAACTTACTTAGAATAGAATATATATATAGCAGGTCTAAAAATAGTTTCCCTGAGCTTGGAGCAGTCAGAGTGTGAAGGCCAAAACCTTTTTTGGTTAGTATGACCATGGCCTTAAGACATTGGGGTGGATTGCTTAATTTAGACTGTAAATAATAGAAATGTCTCAAAAATAGTTTTATTACTGTTGTGTTGCTTTGCTTTGTTTTGAACAGAAAAAAATACAATAAAGATGTCCTATTAATATGGTCATTTTTAACTACCTGGCACCAAGTTTTTTTAAAGGCTTGAGTAAAAGAAGTGGTTTTCATAAACAAAATTGAATTAACCTTGATTGTGTGCTATCTCTGAGAAGCGCTAAAGATGTATTTGATTAAATGTAATTCTGAAAATATGTTGATGTGGATTTTCTTGCACATGAATGTTGGTGAAAATATCTATCCATTTTACATATTATTATAGACTAAAAATAAAATAAAATAAATTCTTCAAAACTATGATTACATTGTATAAAAAGGAAGCTATATAATAGTTTAAAAGCAATAATTTAAGAAAAACATGACAAAATATATTAAACATTTGGTAATTAAAAATAGGTTCAAGACTGTAAACTTGTGCCAGTTCTAATATCAGTGGTGAGTAGTGAGTTTAGCTATATTTTCTTTGCCCACATAATATGTATGGGGAAATATGAGTTCTTATTACTCTGAGGTATGCATATTATTAAATTATTTTAAAATATTAAACTGTTTTAATATTTGTTTGAAAGTATATATAAATCCCAAAAAGGTTCAGCAAAAACTGAGATACAAGAATATTAACAACATAATATCATTTAAGTAGATTGCAAAATTCATCAATAAATATATTTTTAAATGTGTACATGAAGATATAACAGCTTCGAACTGGGGTGGTGTAGGTAAATGTTTCAAATAAAACATTTTTCAAGATTTTATTTATTTGATTTTAGAGAGGGGAAGGGAGGGAGAAAGAGATGGAGAGAAACATCAATGTGTGGTTGCTTCTCACATGCCCCACCCTGGGGACCTGGCCTGCAACCCAGGCATGTGCCCTAGACTGGGAATCAAACCAGCAGCCTTTTGGTTTGTAGGACTGCACTCAATCCACTGAGCTATGCCAGCCAGGTCAAAATAAAACATTTTTTAGGTAAGTAAATAATTGAAGTATCTTGGAAACAAAAGAAAGAAGAAAACTTGGTAAAACATATAGAAAGGAAGGATGGTCAAGGACCATATACAAAGAACCCAAGGACAAAGACACTGGTGGGTGAGTCAGGGACTGAATGTTGGAGGTGGGGGTGGGTAGTGCAGGAGACAGTGATGGGCGGGAAATGGGGACAACTTTAACTGTACAACAATAAAAAAGGGAAAAAAGTTACTTAATATTCAAACTATGAAAAAATATAAAATAATAAGCACCATGTTTTTAGGTAACATCCAGTAGTGAGGCCGGATGTGAAGCAGTCACTGAGGGACATGAAATCCAGGGCAGCAGGGAAATGTGGAGGCCTGGGGAACCGGGGTTTCAGGAGAGGAGGTAAGACGCACTGGGTGCCCTGGTCGGCACAGAGGATGACAGCGATACAGCCCTGTGATAGGATGATGCAGTTCAAACGGCTTTCAAAGAAAAATAGGAGGAGTGATTTAGAGGTGGCAGATAGGAACAATTTGGTGTGGATTGTAGTGGATGCCAAAGAATGGAATACTACAGGAAAGAAAGTGGGTTGAAGATGGCTTTTTGTTTTTATTTTTATTTTTTTCAGGATGTCAGATAAGACAAAATGGCTTGCCTGTGACTGCAAGGAGTAACAAATCACTGAGAAATGGAAAGAATTTTGTTTTTAATTCCAAAATTTAAAAGTGTGTCAGAGATTATCAACAGATTAAATTAAGAATGCCTGCCACATATTTAATTTTGAAGAAATTGAATAATGGCACAGGCATTTTAAAATACATTATTGAATTAAACATTATATATACACATACATATATACAAAGATATATTCATATATAATATGAATATATAATATATATAAATAAAATTACTAATTTAACTTTAATTTCACCTATTACTTAATAGATTTTATAGTTTTGTCATGTAGATGTAACATGAGGTTTAAAAGTTGACTGATTTGGAATAGTGCATACGTTTTTATAGATGCCAGTCTAATGTAGCCAGCTATATCGCTTACTTTTGAGATTGTTTGCCCTAATCCAAAATGCACTGGGTTTACCATCTTATTTTTCTTTTTTTCAAAATGCATTTGCAATATTATTCAGACTTTGCGAGTAGCCCAAATCCTCTTCAATTATTTAAGTATGGATTTATTTTGCTTCATAATATTTACTATATGGTACTACATCTTGCTCAATATTTAATAAAAATAAATGCAACAAAAATTTTTGCAATATCTCTAAACCAAGTTTCTTTTGCAATTTGCTTTGGCTCATATCCTTTTTTTTTCTATTTTGATTCTGAGAAAATTGTATGTATTTGCAAGAGAAAGTACCCAAATTTGTTGTACTCAGCCATTGAAAGAAAATCTGGAGAGCCCTGTTAGAAATCATTTGCAGATAACAAGATCTTCTGAAGAGCCAAGTGCCTTCTCAGTTGTAGGTTGTGAATATACTAACCAATTTTATGTTATTTTGCTTCTCAAAAAAGGCGCAGCATGATTTTGAACAAGGTAAAAGTGTTTTACCCTGACCAGTGAAAAACTTTCAGAAGCTATTCCAAATAGTCCTGGTGTGCTGGTATATGAGGGGATTCTCTCCTTCTTTATATCACCCACCCTTAGGGGACCAGAGACAAGGTTCTCTGATGTACTCTAACCAGGAAACGATTGCTACATGAAATGCAATACCAAAGAACAGTTTATTCATTAAACCAAGAAAGTTAACAGGAACCTGTTGGATACTTTTATTTCTGCATTATAAACTTGGGGAAAGTTAAATTTTATACTAAATATGGTAATTGGCATGAGGGGGTGAAATAGTTATGATATTTATTCATAAAGAGCTCCTGATTTCCTATATCAATAAATATGTTTATTATTACTTACAGTTAAGAGCTATCTATATAAATCCTGTTAAATTGTTTAAGTAACTTATTATTGTCATGAGGGTAGTGAAAATGTATTAAAACCTGACAAAAAAGGTGCAGTGGGAAAAGATGGAGAAGATACAGTATCCAAGATCTAAAACCATTTACAACTCCTTTTATCCCAAGCTTCTCTTATTCAAAAATACTCTTATTTCAAACATTCAAATTTTAGAAACACACAGGTAAACTCATGATATTTCTGAATGTTCTCTTTAGCACACCTAATATATATGTGTGTGTGTGTGTGTGTATATATATACTTTAAATTTTATTATCTTGGATGTTGCCTTGTATAGTAGGGCTTATTAGTTCAACAAATATTTCATTAAGTGGGCAATGATACAACAACACTCATATGGTAATAAAATAGCTCATTTTTTAAGTCAAAAAGAAAGGATATCTCTATTCCAGGGCAGTTCCCTCAAGATAATTGAACATGCTTTCATGAATAGTGGGTGCTTCACTTGGAAAAAAAAAAACACAAACCAAAACATTTAGACTAACACAAAAAAATATGGAAAACAGCCCTGCTTTACTTCCTAGTAAATTAATTTTCTATTAGTTAAAATGTTTTTCAGCATTTCTCTCCTAATCTATTTGATACCTTCTATTTTCTCTTCTTTTTTAGCCAATGACCATGCTCAATAATTCACAAAGAAAACAGATGAAATTGAAAGTGGTAGCCCCGGCTTGCACTTTGTTAGGCCCCACACTGAGTCTGCAGATGGGAGCTTTTTTCCCCCAGGAAGTGTGATTCCCAGGAAAAATACAATGAAATCTTTCTGTGTGATGTCCAGCACGCACCTTCCCTTTTTCATACTCCAGTTCTCACACCATATATTCCACCAGAGATAAAAGACAGTGAGTGATAGGGATGAAGCTCCAAACTCAAAAGGTTATTTCCTCTTGCCACAACTAAGTTCAACTTTCAAGAATTCTAGCTGGGCAATGCAAGTACATCCATGAAGTTTAGCTCATTGCCTTCTGCTTTTGTTGTACAGGGAATTCTCTGGTCTGACACAATATTGTGCTTTATAAAATGTTGGTGATTGAATAATTTCATAATCAAAGAAGGTTCTGAAAGATGCAGTGGCTACAGAGAAAACAAATACAAACTGTAAAAAACAAGTGTGTTGTCAAAACCATATTAAAAGCCCAATATCGTGTATTTAAAATAGCCAATACATGGCCATAGGAGTGTGTGTGTGTGTGTGTGTGTGTGTGTGTGTGTGTTTTAATGGAATCCAAACAGAAGTCTACTTCTGGAAAGTTAGATCATACTGACTTTATATCAGCTTTGATAAGGAAAAGATCCTATTATGTTCCATATCAAAGAAACAACCAATGGACAACCATAGAAATGAGCTTATCCAATCACGACCAGGTCTACGTGATGGACTGGGATCCTCCACTGAACTTTCATCCCATGAGACTTGTATCTCCTGAGACTCAGGCTTCTGACCCACTCTAGGGGATAGTTGCCACATCACTTTCCCAAAGTCCTTTTTGTCTTAATTACCCAAAATTATTTCTTGTAAGCCCTGATAACCCTAACAATCCACCAATTGATGCTAATAGGAATTGTTACTTTCTATCTCAGAAATTAAAATCTTCAGTTGATTACTCATAGGCAAAGGTTGGTGAACTTTTTCTACATAAGGCCAGATAGTAAATATATTAGGCTTTGCAAGCCATAGAGAGTGTATCACAATTACATGACTTTGCCATTGTAGTCCGAAAATAGCCACAGGCAATATGTAAAGTAAATGCAGTTGTTACATTCAAAAAGAAATTTATTAAAAGAAATAAAAAACTGGATGACTGGATTTGGCTACAGGCCATAGTTTACCATGA